TCTAATCCTGGACGATGGTCCATGGCCATCCTGCCAAAATCACTTCATGAGTAAGGTGTAATGTTATCTAGGAATTGACAATGAACTGCACAGCAACATTCAAAGGCCTCTTATACCTATGGTGTACATGACTCTATCATCAGAAAGACACTGGGCAAAATTAGCATCTATGACAGAATAGCAAGGCAGAAACCAGTGTTGACAAGAATAACATGTCTTATGAACAAATGAATCATAAGTGGAACTTGCCTGAAACATCACATATTTTTAGGGAATTTCTTTCTTTGTCCACTTTAAACTTTAAATGATTCATACAGAATTCATATAATTTTGCTTAGCATTTTGTATAAACCATTTCTCAATGTATGTCCCTCTCCCTGGATCTGTCATCACATCCCTGTCCTCTTTTCCTGTTAATGTGTGTGAACAGTATCTGTGAAGATGATGAAGAACGCCAACACAATGAAAGCCACTCACGACTTTCCACCTTGTCTCTTGCTCAAACAACCCTTTGCACTTTGACATTTTTTGTTTAGTATGTGGCCACACAGTTATTGTTGTGGGTCCTTTCTGGGTCTGTCCTCTGAAAAACCACATCAGTCATATCAGACCATATGGGCTCTGTGGTTTTGGTTGTGTTTCTTACTGTTGATGCCAAGTCCTTGATATAAGTATAGTCTATCATTTTGTGAGCTTCCTTTTTCCATTATCCTCTCAAAAAGGCAATAGCATTTGCAGAGGACACAATTAGAACTCCTGAGCAGTTGGGGCCTTTGCAAATTTCCACTTTCATAATGGTATTACAAGCAATGAAAACTTATGAAAAGAATGGCATTGGCAGAGTATACATTATGCTACACCCTCATGGGTAGTCTGATTTCACTCATCATAATGTTTTGTAACAAAAGTAACAAGGCCATTTCTAGACCAGTGGCCCTCGATACTGTGTGTGCTGATGAACTTTAATATATCTGTCATCTTGGATGTTTTTGCTACTGAGAGACAGGCTTTTTGGATCCACCTGTGGAAGTTGTTAATGAAGAAGTCTCAGCAGCATGTGAAACAGCCACGTTCAAACCTGATGTGCTGATGTGAAAAACATCACAAATGGGACCTCTGGAAATTGCTTTCAGTATGAATTACTTAGGCATATTGTGAGTGAAAAAAGTCCTGGTGTTAAGCCATCGCCATGTGAACCCTGAAGCTGGAACTGCACTAAAGCAAATTTCTCTCTCTACTCTTCTTTTTCTTCGTTTTTAGTAGTAAGTCCTCACTAGAGGTCAGATGTCCCAGTTGCTGCCAGTAATTTTGTACTTTGCAGGTGGGTTCTCCAAGGTTAGTCAGTCAATTAGAGCAGAGTATGTAGCACAAATACAGGGTGTCCCTCAGGGATCCATCTTAGGCCCTTTGAGGTTTTCCCAAGAGGCTCAGTTTTAATTCGTAACGCATGTGTCAGGACAGCAGAGGAGTGGAACTCCCTGTTGGAAGACCACAGATCAGAGAAGTTGCTCTTTTGTGATGTTGGAGAACTTTAAACAGCTACTGTAATTCACCAAACAGAGAAAAGGGGGTAGTCTTCGCATAACCCCAGTACTCTTGTTGATCCCTAATTCATTCCTCTGCTCCATGACTTTCTTTTCCTCTTCACAAGGAGGCAGGGCTTAGATGGAAGTGTGTGTTCCTCACCTAGGGAAGCATGGAAATACAATCAGAGCAAGACACTTCACCCTGGGCCCACAAGCGGGGCATCCGGCTGGACTTGTACTTATGGCAAGAAATACAGCCCATGGGTCGTTCGTAGGAACAAGAGGAAGGGTTGTCTGTGACATGGGGGGAAGAGCAGCACAGCAGAATGACAAAGCTGTCGTCTAATGAGAAAACACACTCTGGTCATAGTTTCTCCTTTTTGCTTTTTCTGTAAGAGTGGCTGCTAGCACTTAAAACTGTGAAGAAATTGCCATGATGTCCTTTGCTGTGGGAACAGCTTGAATAAATAAAGAATTAGAATTCTACAAGAAATAGTGAATCATTACTACAGCACATGCCCTGAACATCTGGGCACTCTGTGAAGTGGTGCTGTAATATAAATGCATATGTATAGACCATATGGGTGAATTAGGTCAGTCAATTATAGGCCATTATTGAGCATACATAGCTTACCATATCTTTATAATGTTTAGGTATATGTCCAAAGAGATTCACTAATATTGTTTCATACCTAAACCAGGTATGATCAGACTAATTATTATTATTATTATTATTATTATTATTATTATATAATTTCAAGGTATTGTTAAGAAAAAAAATTGTTTGGTCCAAGTCCATTGAACTTTTGCATCTAAATAGCAGTACTTTGTGCCATCAACATTAGTACTGGCTTAGCAGTAGCTGCTTGTCACTATACTTAGGTAATGAATCAGAACAAGAACAAGTATAATCAAAATATTTGTCAGTCTGGATTTAGCACCAAATGTTTACACACACACAGAACAAGACTTGAGTTTGTCTGCCACGGATGCACTGCAAGTGATGCAAAGAATGAAAGTTTCTGAAGGCAATTTATGCAGAGATACGTGGCTATGGTAAATACAATATACTACAGTGACAAGAATAAGTTAGTGAACTATTTGAAAATATCTGCATGTCTGTATTGATTACTCATAAAATGTGGCCTGGTATTAATTTACTTTCAATTATAGACAAACACAATCTGATGCAACTAATAACACACTTTTCATATTAAGTCATCTTAATGAATATATTAAGTAATCATTCACAGTGCAGAGTGGAGAAATGAAGTGAATCACAGAATCCTAACTTGTAGAAGTTTATTGAGCAATTTTGGACCATTCCTTCCCATAAATCTGTTTCTGTTTATCATTATTGTCGGGTTGTCTTGATAACACTGTCCTCTTTAGGTCAGGATTCACATATTTTCTTATTTTTGTGTTTTGCCTCATTGTCTTATTCATAGTTTTCACGTGACGTCACACCCTTACAGGAACGCAAAACAAGGCTTTCCTCCACTGACCGCCAGTTATTTTTATGAGGCTTGCATTAAGTAGTAATGTAGTAAGACAGTGAAATTTAAAGGCCAAATTCAGCATACAACTTATTGATGATGCATACTTTGTACAGGCAATCAGATGAACCCAGAATATAAACGCAATGTGTAAAGTTTAATAATAAATGTTTTGCCATAAAAAATAAAAAAAAACATTATAAAGAAAACACAACCATTTAGCGCATAGCGTTCATATTCCGGGCACATTTGCTTGCCTGTATAAAGCATGCATCATCAATAAGGAGTGTACTGAATTTGATCTTTTAATATCACTGTTTAAAGGCACTTTAAAGGGGTGGTTCAGTTGTTTTTTTTTTAGGCTTGATTGTGTTTATGGGGTGCAGTCTAACATGTGTTAATCCTTTGTTTTTTAAAAAACGCATTATTTTTCACATAATTTACCTTTATTCCACACCGCTCTGTCACTTCTCTGAGAAACACGCTGATCAATTTCCTGCTTTTATGAAGCCCCTCCCTCAGAAATAGGCAATGGGCTCTGATTAGTTAGCTAACCCAGTGTGTTGTGATTGGCTAAACCGCCTCAAGTGCGCATCTAATTGTCCCGCCCCTGTCCTCAGCGGCATGTGCTCCAGTTGTATTGTAAACAAAGGCGTCGTTAATATCACTTATCAGTTTGAGCCCGATTGAGAAGCAGAGGATTTTTAATATACAGTTTTATCCTGATTAAAGCTTTAATACAGTACGGCAACTGCACGCGCGTCCATGTTTAACGCTTCTCATAGCTATGTGAAAATAAGTGTATAATTGTAACAGTTCATTGTTGGAGCTGAGCTGAATGAGAGAGAGACCGAGAGAGAGATGCAGAGCGCGTGCAGAGCAGGGATGCGAGGAACAGTGAACCGCTGCTTTAGAATATTGATTTTGAAACTTGTGAATCCATTAGAATCGTTAGAAGACAGAATCGCGATTCATGTATGAATAGATTTTTACGTGCACCATTAGTTTTCTCTTCCTCTTCTCTAAAGCAGCACAGCATGGCCTCGCCCCCTTTGCTGCCTTTTCCCGAGGGCGGGGTTTATTTGGGAACCCGGGAAGTAACTTGTTGTAGTCCCTACCAGCCATTTTTGTAGGCATCAAACTGCCAGAATTTTAAAAGACGATATCTCCGTTTGCATTGAACTTTCAGATTCATAACTTTGCAGATATTGTTTATGCTCAAACAGCAACATTACACACTAACTAACGTTAAAAAAGTGAAATCGCAATGAACCACCCCTTTAAGTGTTTTCAAATTAAACGTTTTAGAACGTACCACTGTTTTTAGTGATTGAAATATTGCGGCGGGTGCTTTATATGGATTGCTAATGGCCAAAACTTGCATTTTGTTCACATATCTTTGTTTTATTCTTTTGAGGATTATTCTTTTGAGTTCTATGGATGTTTGCCTGCCAGGTCTTCGAGCCAGTCACGTGACTGAAAACTATGAATTGCATCACCTAGCCTCTCTAAAGCTTGATGTCATGAATTGCTGTGCTGACATTCTCCTGTAAAATGCATTTATACACTTTAGAATCCATTGTTATTTTTCAATGACTGCAAAGTGCTCAGACTCCGAGGCAGCAAAGCAGTGCTAAACCATGATGCTCCCTCCACCATGCTTCAAGTTGGGAAGAGGTTTTAGTGTTCAAGTCTTTATTTATTTATTTACTTACTTGCTTACTTAGAGACAGGGTATCTTTAGCAATTTCTTGTGCAATACTTCTTAGCCTTTTCCAGCTTTGCACGTCTCTGTAATGTGTTTTTAAGTTCCCGTAATAGCTTTTGGGATTGAGGCATGGTTTACACTAACCAGTTTTTCTTGACAAGAACATATTTGTCAGATATGTCTCACAAACTTGCCACTGTGCAAATTATACATCAATAGTAGCTAAAATATAAATATATATCGTTTGTCTTTGTGTTTGTCTTTGGACAGTGGAAAATGACAGAGAGCTGTCGCCACAGAGAAGACACCATAAAGAGTACAAATTCAACCTGTCCCAGATTCCAGAGGGAGAGGCCATCACAGCCGCAGAATTCAGGATCTACAAGGAGTGTGTGACCAGGGCCTTCCACAATGAGACATTCCTACTTAGTGTGTTCCAGGTGGTTGGTGAACATCCAGACAGGTAAACGAGAAGTTAAATTA